ATCCCCAGTGGGAGGTGTGCAGGAGGCAGCTGATCGATGTTTCTCTCTCATCGATGTTTCTAACTTTCTATCTCTCTCCCTTCCTCTCTGTAAAAAAATCAATAAAATATATTAAAAAAATATATATATATAAATAAATAAAAATAAAGAAATACCGGGAGAAAAAAACAACTTTCTTTGCAAATGTGCATCTGAAATAACACTCAAGGCTCTACCAGGATGAAAGTACAAAATGTGATAAAGTAGATTCACATATTCAACAAATACTGACTGTGCAACTTTACATCAGTCACTGTATTAAACATTTCCTACAAGGCTGAGCAAGTGAACTCTCAATATCCCTTCTGGCCCTATGACTGCAGCCACTCAGGTCATGCTCATAAGACTGAACAGCAAACAAGCCAAACAGAATCAGTGATATATTCATGTTAGTATCACATCAGAATCACAATCTCTCATTTAGATTATCATAGAAACGTAGCATAGAGAATCACAATAATGGGTTGAAAGACATGGATAAAAGACACTTGTGACTTGTACGAAAAGTCCATCAGTCTGCTCTTTATGAAGTATAACACTTTATACCCAGTGAATTCACTGATAAACCTAGAAATGTTATAAATTTCCTTTCACTGGCCAAAAATGGTCAGCTCCTCCTCTGTAGTTTCTAAAAACTTTATTAAGTTAAAGTAATGTATAGTGCTGAAGATTAAAATAATTCTGAAATGGAAAATATTACCTGATCTAAGAGGTCAAGTCGGTTGACGTAAGCTCTTTCTGTAAGCAACAGTTCATTGGCTATGTTGTGAAGTTTTTGCTCATTTGTCTCCTACAAATAGAACAGATATGCACATATTAGGAAATAAAGCTTGGACAATATTTCTCAAGTAATAAACTCCTCATCGAATGGTTTGATTAAAACAGTTTTCTCAAGCTTCTCAAGTACCCAATTCCTTTCAGCCATCGAGGAACATCCAACCAGAAAGTGAGAAAATTAGAAATGGGCAATTTGCTAGATATAATGTGTAACAACTTTTTTTTTAAAAAAAAGGATGGTTTATTGATTTTTAGAGAGAGAATGGGAGAAGAGAGAGACATCGATGTGAGAGAGCAACATCGGTCAACTGCGTCCTGCACACCCCCTGCTAGGGATTGAGCCCGAACCCGAGGATGTGCCCTTGTGTGGAATCGAAGTGGCAATCTCCAGGTTCACAGTGATGCCCAACCAACTGAACCACACCAGTCAGGGCCGGTAACAACTTCTCCTGTGATGCCTGTAGCAGTCAGTTACCACTATCACCCATCTTTGCCTTGAAACATCTTTTAAGTTTTCCGGTTCCCAGACACAATACTTTTCTTGTTTTTCCCCCACCTCTCTTTGGAAATGATTTCATCATTCTCTCAGTCATCTTCTCTAATTGTCAGCTTTATGCACAGAACTTTTTGCCCTTGCAAAAAAAACATTTCATTGTGGAAAATTTCAATCTATAATAATAAAAGGGTAATATGCTAATTAGACTGGACATCATTCCGGACGAAGTCTGGGCCGGAGGGAAGCCTGGGTCCTGGGTGCCAGCAGGGTAATATGCTAATTAGACTGGACATCATTTCGGACGAAGTCGGGGCCGGAGGGAAGCCTGGGTCCTGGGCGCCAGCGGGAAACCAGTGCCAGCAGCTGGGGGAAGGAAGGCCTACTCTTGCATGAATTTCATGCATCAGGCCTCTAGTCATATATAAAAGTAGAGGAAAGAGTAAAATGAACCTCCATGTGTCCATTGTGGAGATTCCATAGTCATCAATTCATTGTTAATCTTGTTTAATCTATGCAGCTGGGGGAAGGAAGGCCTGCTCTTGCATGAATTTTATGCATCAGGCCTCTAGTCATATATAAAAGTAGAGAAAAGAGTAAAATGAACCTCCATGTGTCCATTGCGGAGATTCCATAGTCATCAACTCATTGTTAATCTTGTTTAATCTATACCACCTACCTTCTTCTACCCATTTTGTTTTTTGAGAGAGAGAGAAACATCAATCAGTTGCCTTCCATATGTACACCAACTGGGGATCAAACCCATGACCTGGGTATGTACCCTGACCTGGAATCGAACCATCACCTTTTGGTATACAGCATGATACTCCAACCAACTGAGCCACACTGGCTGGGGCCTTTTATCCATATTTTAAAATTAAACCCACACTTTATTATTATTATTTTTAAAGAAGAAAGGGGAAATGGGGTATTAAATTTCAGAAGTGAGAATGGGTGATTTATAGGTAGTTGAGGGAGAGGGGAACATACACGGCAGGCAAATTCTTTTCGTTCACATTCCTTTTATTTTTTTAAACATATTTTTATTGATTTCAAAGAGGAAGAGAGAGGGAAAGACTGAAACGTCAATGATGAAAGAGAATCATTGATCGGCTGCCTCCTGCATGCCCCCCACTGTGGATTGAGCCCACAACCCAGGCATATGCCCTTGACTGGAAGCGAACCCAGGAGCCTTCAGCCCACAGGCCCACTGAGCCAAATTGGCTAGGGCTCAAATTCTTTAAAAAAATATATTTTTTCATTGATTTTTAGAAAGAAGGGAAGGGAGTGGGGGAGAGAAAGAGAAACATCGATCAGCTGCCTCCTGCACACCCCCCACCAGGGATCGCACCAGCAACCTGGGCATGTGCCTTAACTGGGAATCAAACCAGCAACGTTTTGGTGCACTGGACATGCCCAATCAACTGGGCCATACGGGCCAGGGCAGATATTTACTTAAATATATCTGTGTAGACCCCTGCTAGTTCCATGAGGATAGGAACAGTTTTTTCCTTATTAACTATCTCCTGCGTCTACCACATGCTCCAATAAAATATTGACACGCAATAAAATATTTTAAGTTTCACATACCTAACTATTGTTGGACACTTACTACCACTTTGACATAGTGTTAATGTAAAAGTAAACTCATCTTTTCTGGAAAACACCATCTCCAAACTTTACCATCTTGGCAATGGTGCCATCTCTTTCTGGTTATCTGTCTTTGGCATCTTGAATTACTTTAAACTTAGTTCCCTACCACAAAACCCAGTCAGCTACCAACTCCTCTCATGCCATTATGTCTTTCTGTTTATTTCTCTCTCTCTCTTTTTGCTATTATGTCTTTAGCATCCATCCCTTAAGTTTTCATCGCTGCTACCCTGTTTTTCTCAAGATCAGGCCAATCAATAGTTGCCAAATGCTCTGATTCCACTATTTTTGGCTCTAACCCACCTTGTTTCTGCCGTATGAAGAGTGTTTCTAAAACTCCACTTTGCCCAGGTAACCCTACTTTCCACAGAAAGAGAAGCCTTCAAGAGTCCTCTCCTCAATGACAGGATAAAATCCAGATTCTGGGTACCATTCAGGGTTGTTCAAACCTGGTCACTTCCTCAAACTTCTCTCTCACTGTATCTTCACAGGCACACTTTCCCCCAAGCACACTAATCTATCCACCTTCATCGAAACATGTCCCCAGCCATCCCCAAACCTTTCTTTTATCCCCTCTGTCTGGCACATGCTCTCGCTGTACCTCTGTAGGTGTTTAAGACTTATCTTCCTTTTGATGGCCGGCTGAATTTCCAGCCCTTGTCTATGGAGTCTTCTTTAACTATCCAAAGCCCTTCGGCTTGGTCCTATTAAAACACATTTTATATTTTATACCTAAAATATGTTTTTTATTTAGAAAGTTCTACCTACTTTTCTGAGATACCCTTTCACTCTAGGAAAGTATTAAGTATAACAAAGGTTTAGTAAAAACTCTAGTACCAAAACAGACCAAAGTATATTTTAACCAGGGTTTAATTTGTGTAAATGTTATATTTTTAAACTGTATAAAATACTATTAAGCTGTAAGAATGCTTCACTGTATTCAACATATAGGACAACTACTTACGTTTTATAGGCAGCATCTATTCTAATGTGGAAAATGACCAAGCTGCTTCTTACAGCAGTACTGAGCTGAGGTATTTTTATGTGAAGTCTTTAGGTAAAGTAACTAATACTGTTTAAATAATTTGTGGTCCCAGAAATACTGAAATAACAACTATGTAGTCAGCAAATCCCCCAACTAGTCAAGGTTTTGTTTTAACTTAATAAATTTAGGGTAAAGCACTAGCATTGTTACTTACCTGCCTGGTATCCTTTCCCCCCATTTTTTTAAAAATCCTCACCTAAGTATATTTTCCCATTGATATTTAGAGAAAGTGGAAGAAAGAAGGAAAGACAGAGATAAACATCAATGTGCGAGAAACACATTAACTGGTTGCCTCTTGCACGTGCCCCGACCAGGGCCTGGGCTGGAGAGGAGCCTGCAACCAAGGTACATGCCCTTGACCAAAATCGAACCCAGGACCCTTTGGTCCACAGGCCAACACTCTATCCACTGAGCAAAACTGGCTAGGCCTCCCCCAATTTCTTAATGGTATCCAGACTTGGTTCACGTAACTCACCACTATGTAGCCTTTCTTTTTGGGGAAGTAACCACTGTCCTCCCAGATTAAAAGGGGGGCCCTTATTGGTGTAACAATAACGGGTACACAGTGATTGGTTCAGGAAACAAGGAGACATGAGGAAATGTGTACAGCAGAGGGGAAGAGGAGGTTCCCTACTCTTAAAGGAAGAACCACGAAAAAAGCGCTCTCCCTTTGCTGCTCCATGTAAATGTGGGACCTATGTAGGCTTCAGTGTTGAGCAGCCATTCCATAACCACAGAGGTGAAGCCAATAAAAGTCGCCATTGTTTAAGCCAGGTCGAGTGTTATTGTTGTTATCTGTAGCATTCTGATTAATACAGAAAACAGATACTATGAAACAGATGCAATATATTCCATGAAATTTAAAAACTTTCAAGTAATTTTTAAACAATTACTACTTATAGAGAAAGTAAAATACTTAATGACCTAAAAATGTGACTTTGAAACTGTTACTAAGTGAACACAAATACACATTAAATACATAAGAAATCTGTCAACATTTCAGGGAAAGATAAAGCTCTATGTTATTCCACACACAGGAAATAGTGATCTGCATCAATACTACAAGATATTTGTGTTTGCTTTGTTTTTTTAAAGCCAGATTTATTGATATAATGTACAAGTGATAGTAAAACTGACCCTTTTGGTATAAAGTTTTAGTTTTGACAAATGCTTGTCATCATGTCACCACCACCCCAATCAAGGTGCAGAACACTTCCATCGACCTCATCTCAAGTCTCTTTGTACATCATTAGATTCCTTGTTCGTTTATTTTGATTTTTAGATCCAATTGTTGATATGTATTTATTGCCATTTTATTGTTCATACTTTTCCTCCTCCTCCTCCTTCCTCTTCTTAAAGAATACCCTTCAACATTTCATGTAATACTGGTTTGGTGGTGATGAACTTCTTTAGTTTTATTCTAATAGTAGCAATGTATCTTTTTGATTTGCATTCTTTTATATGTTCTAGTTCTGACAAATATCTTAAAAAAAAAAGATCCTGCAGCATGTGTGCTATAATAAAATAATGTGTCTTTTATTTGTCAGAATCCATTAACCAACAGGCCAGACTGTCTATTATTGCCACGAAATGAAGCCACCCCTGAAGTCTTCCACATCCTATGGGATCCTAGGACACTTATATGCAACAATCTTTTGCTGACTGCAAATCTTATTTTAGCTGAACATGGCAAATTGTGGGTATCCTGGTAATATTTTGCAAAATCCAAGGGGATAACAGCAGTTATTAACAAAAGCTATGTTCCTTCCACACAGATGGTCTTCTAACGTTAGGTCCCTTACCTTGCCAACACTAACACAAAGAT